GAAAAAAAGGTTCCCACTCCTCCTTGCCCCGTACCCGTGATTGGCCACAGCAGTCACGACAGGAGAAACGAAGTAGATGAGAAATGAGTAATTTTTTTCAAACGTACTTAATCGTTGGTAATAAAGACGTATATGAAATATTTTTTTGTTTGCTTCGAGTTTATTGTCATGAACGAAAATAGAGAACAAAAAAATCAGTGCCCACAGCAAAATTGTAAGTAGGAGAAGTCTATAAACATACATATTCTATGAACAATAATAACAGTATACTTAATTTTCACAATTCTGTTCTTTCAGGAGCAGATGAAGCGCTGATGGAAGATAAGGAGGCAATGGCGGCATTGAGTTTAGAGGACTACGATAAAGTTCAACAAGGTAAATGTAATTTTAATCTTCTGTAAAAACAATACGTCATCTATCATGATGGAAAAATACACTTTTTTTGAGACATCAGAGATTTGAAAAAAATTATCAATCGCCTCGTCCAGTACCAACAGCATCCGAAAACTGCAAGAAATAATAAAGAAGAGGAGAGAAAACAAAAAGATGGTGAGTTGCTAGAATTAATTAATTATGCTTTCTTATAAATAAAATAGCAAAAGAAAAATTACATCCTTTGCTTTGTTTAGGAGGTGGTGAAAGATTGTACGGGTGAAAAGGTGCTGGACAAAGCAAAAAGCAGTTGCGGAGACGACATCGAAAATATTCGACAAAAGTCAAGAATCTCAGATTTCTTGAGTCGGCAACTCTGCATCAATAGACTACATATAAGAAAAATATTCTATCCGCCATATTGTATTTTGTCCACAGTTAGAAATTTACATTTTCAAATTTTTCAAGTTAGTAATCGTACATAGGTCTGGAGTAGTGGTAGATACTCAGCGCCAAGTGCACATTCACCTTCTTTCTTTCTCTCTCTGTTTCTCACTAGTGCGCTCTTTCCCCCATGAGCGCCGAGGCAACCGACTACTCTTTATACGAAAAATTTTGTGTGACGTAATCAACGCATCTTTACATACAAATATCTTTATAATTACTAGACATAATGCTTTCATATTTAATAGGTAGTTATCTTATACCATAAGCTTCCGATCAAACGTTAAATGAGCATTTTTCGTTAATTATTGACGGAGTTATAAATAAGCCACGCCCCTAACAGCGATATTTCTGCTATTCAAGATTTTTTCGCTTACTATTTCACTCTAATTCATCGAGCGTGCTATCATGTGTTATCTCTTACTGAATGTGTCTTTTGTCACTCACTTTCATGTTGGAGTTACTACAGTGCCCTCTTTCTTGCCTTATGTATTGTTATCACTCTCTTTTACCTTAACTTTGTGATGTTTTCTTCTCCCTTGCCTAACAAAGAGACATCTATGTTCTAGAAAATGAAGAATGTTTCCCGCGTGTTGCATAACGATTTGAATAAATTTTTCTAGAAATTATTGATAAAAAAATGTTTTCAACAATTGAATGAAGAAATAATTGTTTGTTGAATGATTATAACAAAATAGTACTCGTATAATTGACGTTTTTATGTTGAACTTTTTTCTGTCTCGAAGAAATAAAAAAAAAGGCTCCGCAGAATCATAGAAAAGCAAAAAATACACTTACGTAACATAGGAAATAGCTGAAATAGTTATAAATTATGTTTTTATAAAAACATGTTTCTTGAAGAAAAATTCTATGAATGCATATAAAATTCCAATTTATCCATAGAATAATTTGTACATTCCTATCTTCTATCAATGTTACTAGTCTTTTTCAGAAATGTATTCGTAGGGTAACCACTGTTTCTTCGAATGATAGTCATTTCAGTAACAGCATTCTAAGCTTGTAATGATTCTGTAACATCTTTTATTAATGTGTCTAAGTCAAAAATTTCGATTTTCAAAAATTTTCAATAAGAAATATTTAAATAAAATTAAAATGTTATCGTCGTAGCAATCTCACAGTGAGTTTACAGAAAAAATTACAGGCAATCATAGGGACTGGTTATAGAAATGAAACTTAAAACTATCATATAACAATAGTTTGTTTGAATTTTTGAATAAATTGCAGTATAAAAAATTGAAAATTTATAATTTGTGGATTTAACTTATTGGTATTAGTCCACGTTCTAATATCTATCATAGCTTTAGACATACCATTAACGTTACCATATCGGTCACGCTGAAGATTTGGTGATGTGAACTTACAAGTTTGTCTCCTACTAAAAATTGCTCCGATGCGCCTAAAGCAGTTTTCACTTTAAAAAAAAAGTAAAATCCGAACAAAACAGGCATCTACGAATGCCTGTAGAAATTGGTGCCAAGTCAACATTCAAGTAAAATTAGTATAAATGAAAAAAAGGTACGATCAAAAAAATATGTGGAATCAAGTAAAACGCCAAGGTAGCCGCGTCTTTTTTTTGTAATCTTTTTCGAGCTAGTAACGTACTATTGCTAACTTGGCGTTCTACTTGATTCAATCTACAAAAATAACTGAAATCCTACCAAAACCGACTTCACCAGATGCCGGTAATATTTGCGCCAAGTCCACGTCCTAAGTGACTCTGATATAACAACATCCATATGTGATAGACTATTGGAATGTTTGGATACCAAAAATGATTGAAATCACATGGAATGCTCAGTCATGTATTGAATGGAATAGACTCTTTTTGCTTCCAATTGATAATGAAAAACTTAGGACTTTTTAGAAATCATTTTCATCTTATTAACAAAAATATTCTTCGAATAAAATTTTAAGAATTAACAGCGATTTTCGGAGTGATTTAAATTGAACGAAAATAATATTTATTTGTGAAAAAATTAATGAATTTGCCCAATTTGGATGATGTTCTCTTTTTAAAATACTTCATGAGCATTTATGATTTAAAAAAATTGACAAATATTTCAGTGAAAAAGTATACGGTCATCATATTTTATATTTTATTCCCGGAATTTTTAGAAGATATGTGAATGTTGTTATATCAGAGTCAGTTAGGACGTGGACTTGGCGCAAATTTTACCGACATCTGGTGAAGTCGGTTTTGGTAGGATCCCTACTACAAATATTAATGACTGTGACCGTATTCGCGCTAGATTGTCCCATGATGCTTAAAAATTTTTTCTTTCTATAGTGGACGTATGGTTTTTACATGTAGGAGACATCCAATCAGTAAATAAGTAGCATACGTCGCTACAACCCAGATTTTATATATAATGCATCTATAATTACATATGTAGATAAACAAACTACAATAACATATTTAATTTTATTTTTATATTAAATCACTCTTATCAAAATTATCAATGTAATACTTTTTATGATTAGAATAAGTTATCAATCATACTTGAGAAAATCACTTGTGATTAATAATTATCTCACAGTTTTAAAACACATAAATTGGCTTATATTTTATTTTATTTCCCAGAAAGTCTGTACCTGCAACTTCTTCAATTTCTTTTTGAGTAACATCGTGCATTTCAAATATAAGCTGTTCGTTTATTATTTTTTAGTCTTGCATTTTGTGGAAGAGGTAAAAATTCGGTTGTGATCACATTTTTGTATATCATTTTGTGTAATATTTCTAAAATCATCGAGAAAATGACTGTTTTATGAAATTCTTTCGAACCCGTGATTTTATTGTAAAAAATCACTCGTGACAACTTCCTGTAACTTTTCTTGGCTAATATTGCTCAGTTCATCAATTTCTTCTTGAGTCAATTCATTTACATTTGGTTTCACAATAAAAGGTTCACAATAAAGTGATCCTTGTTTGATTTGATCAACAATACTGCTATATTTATCTACTGCACTATTTTTCATAGAACACTTTGACTTTGAAATAATTGAGGAAGTCTTATGATACATATTTTGGGCATCAACATTCATTTCATTGATATTTTTTTCGCACAATACCTCCTTTTTATTTGAATTCATGGCAGATGAGATCAGTTTAATAATACTCATTTTACGTCTTTTAGAGTCATTGATGTAACTTCCTGCTACGGTACGTTTAAGAGTCGGCAAATCAGCACCTTGATCAACGACTAATGTTGCTATATATTCTGAAGCATTTGGAAAACCCAAGAGATTTGCTACCTCTGTTGGAATACTCCCTAGTTTTCCTTTACCAACGTTCTAAAAATTTTAATTCTGAGTTAAGAAATACTTTTTGGTTAGCTTTCTGATAATCTATAACATAAAAATGAATCGCTAAATGTGTTGGTAAGCGCATAACTCAAGAACGCCTGGACTAATTTGGCCAACTTTTTTTTTTAATATTCGTCAAAACTCAAGGACGGTTTTTACGGCGAGGAAATATCAAATAATTGCCGGAAAAACCCTAAAAACAGTCCTTTTCTTTATACCATACAAACGTTTTCTAACTAATACGTTGAGTCAATTTGAGCTTTATTGCTATTGTAGAAAGTTCACTGTTGTCTAAACAATGTAGGTGTGTTCCTAACATCAAAGCAGTGTGCGTTGGAGCACAGAATATAATAATGTCATGTCGCGTTCTGAAACTCAACAAAAGTGATATCGTGGACCCGACTAAATTGAACAGTCACAAAATGTAATAGATCATTAGTTATTTGGTTGGCTTCGCGATATTATTTCGTTTGTTTTACTTTAAAATGGATATTTTCCCGTCATTACATCAGACAAACACAACCGTTACCAAAAGTCCATGACTCCAAGTCATATCAAATTTAAAAAAAAAAATAGTTGTCAATTTGAAGTGTTGTTTCTCTTGGATTTTCTGTTACGTACTCTACTAAGTTTGCTCTTGTCAACAACACGAAACAAATTCGTATATCGTGTTTAATTACCTATGATCACTAATTATTGCATGTGGCATAATAATTAATAATATAGATATGCCTCCTGTAAGAAGAGGAAATTTAGGTAGAAGAACCCGAAATGCTGCAAACCAAGCTAATTACTGATCTAATCATACTGCACAAGAACGTGACGACCGAAATGAACGTGAAAGAATTCGGATATCACAAATGCGTGAAGCGCGAGCGAGACATTCAACTAATAATCGTGCAAGTTTGAATCGAGCTGCTTTCAGTTACGATGTGTCTATTGACTACAGTAACTATCAATGTGTTGTTATTGGTTCTTTGGACACGGTTTGCTCACATTGTAAAGCATTGAAATACAAAAACGAAGCCAATGGATTGTGTTGCGCAAATGGTAAAGTGAAATTGATACCATTGGATCCACCACCAGAGCCATTGTACTCATTGGTTTCAGGAATAGAAACAGATTCCGTACACTTTTTGACAAATATCCAACAATATAACGACAGCTTTCAAATGACTTCATTTGGGGCAACAGATGTAGTTCGCGAATTTTATGCCAACTTTCAAGGTATGTATTAAAGCAGTTAATCATAATTATTTTAGCGAATAATATTTTCTGTCACATAAGTTAAGATGTGTATGTATCACTAATCTTCAATTTCTTAATCATTAAGATCATAATCATCACTTAGTCATCATATTACTTGGTGATTTAGTTTTAGTGACACTTTCATTATTTTTAAATCCAATATAATTATTTGATGATAGATATTAGTTACAACTAAATATTACATATTGAGGTATGTTCACAGAGCAGGTTCACTGTTACCAGTGTCAGATAACAACTACAAATTCCTGCAAATTTATTTTATGGGCAATTCACCACAAGAAATTGATCTGCGTTGTGAGCATAACAATTTAGTAAAGAGGTCTATTATAGAACAATTACAAACTTTATTTCATGAACACAATCAATTGATTCTATTGTTTAAAACTGCACTAGATCTGATGCCATCTGATAATCACAAAATTGTAATCAGAGCTGATAAAACACCTGCGGGTCAACATGCAAGACGTTTTAATGCACCAACTACTGATGAAGTTGCTATTGTTGTAGTTGGAGAAGACTTGGAATCCTGTGATATTGTTTTACACCGTCGGAATGATCAATTACAACGTATAAAGGAAACACACCGCTCATATGATGCACTATAATATCCATTATATTTTGGAAAGGTGAAGATGGCTATGATTTCTCAATACAAATAAATCCCATTACAAGTAATTAAAATATTATTTTAGCTAAGGTGATATCTCAGTCACTATATTATGTATTTTAATTTTATATTTTAATTATTAAAACAAAATATATTTACAGGTTCTGAAACCAACAAAAAAGTCAGTTCAATGAACTATTATTCGTACCGCCTAATGATTCAGGAAAATGAAGACAATCACATACTGAAATGTCGGCGTTTATATCACAAATATGTTGTTGACATGTATGTTAAAATTGAAACGGAGAGATTAACATTCATCAGGTTGAATCAAACCAAACTGCGATCTGAAGAGTACATTCACCTTCGAGATGCGATTACTACTGATGGAAATGCACAGAATGTTGGTCGGATGACTATTTTTCCAGCAACATACATCGAAAGCCCTTGACATATGCACGAATGTGCTCAAGATGCCATGTCGTATGTTCGTCATTATGGTACAGCAGATTTGTTCATCACATTCACATGCAATCCGCACTGGATAGAAATCAAGCAGGAGTTATTCCCTGGGTAATCACCCATTGACCGTCATGATATTACAGCCAGAGTCTTTAGACAAAAGTTAAAATCTTTAATGGATTTCATTGTAAAACATTATATGTTTGGTGAGACACGCTGCTGGATGTATTCTGTAGAGTGGCAGAAACGAGGATTGCCACATGCACACATTTTGATTTGGTTAGTTGAAAAGATAAGGCCAAATGAAGTTGATGCAGTGATATCAGCTGAAATCCCTAATGTACAAGTAGATCCTGGATTGCATGAGGTAGTTATGAAAAACATGATACACGGTCTCTGTGGAACTCTCAATCAAAATTCACCGTGTATGATGGATGGTAAATGTTCAAAACGATATCCACGGACATTAATATCGGAAACAATTACTGGTAGTGACGGTTATCCACTTTATCGTCGCTGATCGACAGCAGACAATGGAAGATCAACAATTGTTAAATTAAATCCACAAGATATTAAAATAGATAATCGTTGGATTGTTTCATATTCACCCATTTCATCAAAGACTTTCAAAGCACACATCAAAGTTGAATCTTGCCTTCAGTGAAATCTATTAAATACATTTGTAAATATGTAACCAAAGGAAGTGATATGGCTGTGATTGGAATTGGTGCAGAGAATTCCAATGATGAAGTTACCCAATACCAAATTGGCCGCTATGTTAGTAGTAATGAAGCAGTTTGGCGAATATATTCCTTTCCTATTCATGAGAGACATCCTACTGTTGTTCACTTAGCTGTGCATTTAGAAAATGGACAAAGAGTGTATTTTACATTACAGAACGCAGAACAAAGAGCTGCTCAGCCACCATCTACTACATTAACCAGTTTTTTTGAGACATGCCAAAACGATAACTTTGCACAAACATTGCTATATTCTGAAATGCCAAAATATTATACTTGGAATCAATCCTCAAGGAGATTTATACGACGGAAACAAGGAAAACCAATTCCAGGATACCCAGGTGTGTATTCCACCGATGCGATTGGTCGAATTTATTCAGTACATCCAAGCAATGATGAATGTTTTTATTTACGACTGCTATTAGTCAATGTACGTGGCCCAACATCATTCCAACATTTACGAACTGTTGATGATAAATTGTGTGGATCTTACAGAGAAGCCTGCCAACGTTTGCAATTGCTAGAAAATGACGCTCATTGGGATCAAACTCTCAATGATGCTGTAATATCATCACACGCTCATCAAATACGAACATTATTTTCTATAATCATATCAACATACTCCCCATCAAACCCAATTGATTTGTGGAACAAGTACAAAGATTATATATGTGATGATATTTTGTATCAAATACGCAATAGAATGGGAAATTCAAATATACAAATCAGTGAAGAAATTTACAACGAAACATTGATTTCAATTGAGGACACGTGCTCGATGATGTCAAACAAACTATTAATTCAGTTAGGCGTGGCCTTGCCCAATCGTCCAATGCATGATGCTTTTAACTAAGAGTTGCACCGAGAAAAACTGTATGATCTCAACACTTTGAAACAATTAATTCAAATAAATCTTCCACTGTTGAATGAACAACAGAAGTATGTATTTAATACTCTGATGAAAGTATCTGTTCTGACTTTGAGTCGGCTGAGTGAAAAGTCGGGACTTTGTGGACTGTATTTTTTAGGATGTTTGAATGCTAGAACAGTCGGGACTTTTGAACGGTGTAAATGAGTTGGCTGACACTATTTAACAGTAACAGTTAACGATTTATTAAACACTAAAATCACACTAACAGAAAAATAACAATAAAAGAGTCTTTGAATTGTCTGTACAGTCTTGAGTTCACGGAAATTTCACACAGAGTTCACAAATGAGTTGACTGATGAGTAGAGGATCACAGGAAAGTTGTAAGTTTTCCTGTACTGGTCTCTGCACCAGAAGTAGCCTGATTTTTTTGAGTAGTCTGAGTTTCATTGTGTTGGCGTCAGCCACACAGACACAAGCGAGTTGTTCGTGTATGGATCTTGTGTGTGTGTCTGTCCATGAGGCCGTGAGGCGTCGAAGCCGACATCGTTCGCGCCGTTTGTAAGAAGATGCTGATGCGGACCAACATGAGCTTCCTGAGGATGTCTTCTAAGAGGTAGACTGCCTGATGAGTTCATAATCATCACTATAGATGATTAACTGGTGAGTTAGTCCATGTCTGAGGAGTTGTCTGGGTTTTCACTAGAGAGTTCGACTGCGTGAGCTCTTTGCTAGTACACACGTACCGAGTTGACTGTTACAACGAGTTGTCTGTAGATCTGCATCGTCCGATGATGCCCAAGAGTCGTCCGAGTACGAGCTACGTACGAATACTCGTAGTAACCGGCGAATACTGACTCATACATACCGTTTTTCCCGAAACCTCTGCGTTCTCGAAGCTTCGAGGCCCTTCGAGAAGGGATATATACGTCTAGGAATTAATTAGAGTTGTCTAATTGGCGAAAATGAGTTGGCAGGAGAGACCTCGAGTCATCTAATTATTCGGTGGGGAGAAAAATGTTAGGCCGTCGATAGAGTACCTTAGACAAAGTCAGAACAGTATCAAATGATGAAGCTGGAGGGATTTACGCTGGATTTGCCAGGATTGCCACCTCACAATCTTTAATTAAAGGTTGGATCGGCAGTTATAATGTTGCGAAATGTCAACCAATCGCGTCTTTGCAACGGCACACGGTTAGCGAAAAAAAATTACTAAACAACGTAATAGAAGCAACTATACTGAAAGGAAAGTATAAAGGAGAAGATGTTCTCATACCGCGCATCCCAATGATTCCGACTGATGTGCCATTTGAATTTAAAAGACTACAGTTTTCAGTGCGGCTTGCTTCTACTATGACCATAAACAAGTCCCAGGGGCAATCATTAAGTGTTTGTGGTATTAATCTGGAAAACCCATGTTCCTCCCATGGTCAATTATATGTTGCCTGTTCCCGTGTTGGAAAAACCATCAGATTTTCTTGTCTATGCGCCAGGGAATCAAACAAAAAATATTGTATATCATAAAGCACTACAATGAAAATGAAACTGAATTTTGTTAATAATCATGATGATTACCAATAAAGCGATTACTTACTTTTAAATGCTTCTATCTGTTTTATTTAATAATTATTTTTTATTCACAACGCCCTATCACCAGGGTGAAGGTTTTGTTCAGGAGAATTTTTGCCTCGACAGTGAAATAGATAGGAACAAAAAACTGTCATATTACTTGATGACCACATTTTCCATTTCTGTATTGTACGAAGAATCTTTCCATGCCTGGAGGACATAGATTCATATACTTTTCTACAATAAAACTCATTTCTGCGCTATAAAATGCCTTAGTAGCACCAGTTTCTGAGTCTGGGATAAAGATACAATAAACTGAAGCTTCGCGATTTATGTCATCTGACTTTATATTCAGCAGCTAATTCTTACGAAGACATCCATGCAATCCAATGACTAAAGCAACCTATAAAAAGATTTATTTTTCTCACAAGAAATATTTTTATCCAAATTATAATCGAATTTTATCCCAATTTATCTCATGTAAAAGAAATTTTTCATCCGGAGCAGTGTTTAAAAACTAATTTCTTCGTTTGTAAATACTCTTGATTTTTTCACTTTGTGACCTTTCTGTTTTCTTTTGAGAAAACACTACAATTCTATGGATTTGCTAATATCGATATTTTTTTTTAATTAAAGCATCGATTTTAATTTAGTATAAGTTGTCCATAATGTTGTAGCTCTGAAACTTTCAGATAGCATTTGGAAATATGCTAATAAAACTCTCTCATCAATATTTGTAATGTCCATTCGTAAACACCACTGTGTGAATTTAATGTATTGCGTTTCGTATAACCTCTTTGAGTTTTCAGGTATTATAGTTGCTCTTGCTTTATCAGCTAAATTATTTAATACATTACTATTATCATCAGACTCACTGTCAATATCACTATTACTATCAGAATTATTGCATAAATCAATTTTTTACAACTTAAAATATGATAAATATACTATCTTTTCCGCATAACATGCGCCCCGTGTGCTTATCAAAACAACAACAAAACACGTGAACTACTCGACTGTATAAAGTTCAGTACACGCATGCGCAACGTGCTTCTCGACTGTATAGAGCTCTAGACAGCCCAGAAACTACTGGCGCGTACGCGCATTATTTACCGATTGAGTGTCCTCTACATGTAAAAACGTTCATACGATGAAAAAGAGAATACGTGGTAGCTCCATGGTTAAGGCAGCAGACTGAGCCGGGTTTGATTTCGGTCACCATAATTTTTTTTTTCCTTTTTTTTATATTTTAAATTACATGTTATTGCAATCTATACATGCTACCACTTGAAATAAATGATATTTTCGATATTCTTTTTTATTCTTCTCAAAAGTAAGGAAGTTGACCCTTTATGTCATAATAGTCAGATTTTTATAAAACTTCATAAATAACCTAATATTCATATATCGAAAATGCTCTGTAAATTTCACTTAAGTTCAGAGCGTAGTTTAAAAGATATTTAATGATGAAATAAACATTGCTCTTATAGAGATTACGTCCGAATCTACACGGAGAAAATTTTTGCTCAAAATTTACCCTAGAATGAAGGGTAACCGTGAGACGTAGCGTAAATTGAGAGCAAAAATACACCTCCCCAGTATAAAAATTACACCGTTGCAGGATAGTTTTTACTCTTCTCGTGTGGTAAAATTTACCACACAAAAAATTTACGCTTGAATGGCGAGGAATATTACTCCTTTACTGGAGTATTTTTCATCTCATAGTTGAGAGGAATTTCAGATGATCGATAACATTCGACTTCTTTCGAACATCTTCAGCCAAAAAGCTGTTCGAAAATCTTAATGCGTATTTATTCTCGTATTTCCCTTCAAACAAATAAACATTGTACTCCTAAAGAGACCAATCTTTATTTTATCTAGTGGGTACATTTATTTAATCAATAAACCCAACTATCCAAGATCCATATCAATTATATATACACTTTATTTTTATTAATAAAGGATCTTTATTTATTTTTTCAATAGAATTCTTTTAACGATGTTTTCTTTCCGACAGAAAATTTTCAACCTCTGAGCAGGGTAAAAATTATGCTACTCTAGAGTAAAAAACATCTTGCGGTCGTTACGTCCCACGGTTACTCTTCTGTAGAGAAAATTTTACATCAGATTTTAGGGTAATTCTTACGCAAAAATTTTCTCCGTGTAGGGAATCATACAAATTTATATAAAATTAACAGTCATAAAACAGAGAATATTGCTTTAAAATTAAAATAGTTACTTTTCAAGTATTGCAAAATACATATGGGTAATTTCGTATAAATTGAGAGTCCCGATTAATGATTAAAAATTTAAAAAAAACAGTCGAAGCTATCGTTTTTTCCTAAACGCACAAATTAGTTAACGAACGTGGCAACGTCGTACTCGACACTCTGAAGATAACGCGATATTTTCAAATTCAATACAAAGGCGGGAAAATCTAAAACAGTTGAAAATAGGTTAGACCTTATTTATTGAAAACATCATAATGTATATTTATATTCTTATCATAAATTATTTGGACATTTCAACTCATAGTATAAAATATGAAATTTACTATAAAAATAACAGAGATAAATTTGATAAATTGTATAATTGTTATTAGCATAACCACTTACACTTTTTCCTACAAGATGAACATATTTTTAAAACACTACAGATCAACTTTTAAGGAAATAAATAAAAATAAAATACTTCAATTAATTTTTCGAGAAAATTTGCTAATTGCACAATTACTCTGTTAATATTAGTGACGCGGACAATTCCATTTATGTCTTCACCTAATAGAGTTTTTTATCCTAGAACTTTATCTTGTTTATATGCTTTGATTAACATTTCGTATGTGACGTCCGCGAGGATCATCTTTATTTTATAGAATTAGATACGCTATCGCGTAGGGGAATATAATTGCTCATAGTATTGACTATTTTTAGGTTGTTGATTTCTTGCTCTGTTATAGCTTGCCAAGTTTTCACATTATCAATTAATTCGTTCTTCGAAATTGTCATTTTCAATTTTACAACTATTTTATGTAAAATTTCTACGTCATAAATCGCATTATGTGCTCCATCTTTACATATGTCTAAATTTTCAGCAAGCTCACTAAGGGAATTAGCTCCTTTCCCCTTTGTATCTGTTTTTTACCTTATAATGGATGGCGAATCCACAAACCCATAAGGTACTGATTCAAAATTATCTTTTGAATTGAATTGTTTTATAGCTTTCAACAAATGACGTTGATAAAAATGGCTACACTGAGAGAAATTGGAATAGTTGCCACAACTATTTTGCACCAACTGAAAAAAAATAGTTCAGCGAAACCGAATTACTGGTTGAGGGAACTATTTTATCAGTTACGGCAACTATTTTTTAGTAGTTAATTATTTCAAGTTGAATCAACTGCTTTAAAATAGTTGGAA